GTCAACTCTAATTACGGAGGGGCTGACTGGTAGCTGTCCAGGGTCCTAGAGACTCCCTGCTGGACCAGGAGTTAACCCTTTATGTTAACCTTCAATGGTGAAGCCCAAGGAGGACACTTGGGGAAGCTGAGGACATCACCTGTTTACCACCCTGGTGACACGCCTATTTCCTTGGTGAGGCTGTGCCCTTGGGTGGGCAGTCTTGGGATTCCTCCCCCTCCTTCCCATGCCTCATCTTTCAACCCACCTTGCAGGAAAGGTTCGAACCACCCACCTCCTCCATGACATAACCAAATCACAGACCTGGACAAAGAACACAGCCATCCCAGGGGGCTGCAAGCTCTAAGGGCTCTGGCCTAGCTTTTAGGACAAGTCGGTACCAACAGGACTGCGGCCATAAGCTGGTGATTGCCCGATGCAGTGGACTTCAGAACCACATGGTCCAGGAATTCATCTTGGCCAGTGAAGGGGGAGTGGGGTGGTCTTTCATGGGCAGGACCCAGCACCCATATCCTCACAAAGCAGCATTCAGCAGGGATTCGTCTGACCCCAGCCAGGATGAGTGGCCCCCATGTGTCTGGCCGAGAGAGGTGGGCAGGGTGGGGGCTTCTGGTGTGTTTCTGGGCAAAATCAATTATATGTGGAGTTGCAAGGAGGCTGGAAATCCTCGTTCATAGGTAGCAGATATGCTTATGGAATAAGGCTCAGCTGAAGCCTTAAGGCTGCTTTACAGATCTTTCCCCTGAATTCAAAGCAAGCAGGAGAAGAAGGTTTAAGGACAATGGTGAGGTTGCCGGGAGGATTCCAGTCCAGGTAAAGAGGGGACCATGGGCCCCTGGAGAGAACTGAGGATGCCAAGTCCTGCCCGGCCATAGTCCAGTGGCTAATAACCTCCCCCTGGACTTTTCCCACCCACGTTGCACGTTTTGATCTGTTTACAATCCCACCCCCACCACTAAACGCTGATGGAAATCAAATTTAACCCTGAAACCTGTAAGTTCCTAATGGGTGGTCAACAGAAACCCCAATAAAACAAGCAGAAAATCTTCCCTCTTCCTCCAAAGCTGTAGAAAGGCAGCCACCATACTGGGTCAGGAAATGCAAATGTTATTGTTTAAAAACCAGCACAAAATATATACAACATAAAATATGCCAATTTAACCACTTCTAAGGTACGATTCAGTGACATTGGTGCCGTTCACACTGTTGTGCAAACATCACCATATCAAGTTCCAAAACTTTTTCATCACCCCCAACAGAAACTTTGTACCCATTAATCAATAACACCCCAGTCTCCCTTCTCCTGTCCCCCACCTGGTCATCTCTTCTACTTTCTGTCCCTGATCAGTTTCCCTGTTCTAGATATTTCTAGATATACCTCAAGTGGGATCACAGTGTTTTCAAGGTCCGTCCATGTTGTGGCACGTATCAGAACTCCATCCCTTTCGACGGCTGGATCATATTCCGGTGTGTGTCTCTGTCACACAGTTATTCATAGCACTTCCTTACAATCCTTTTTGTTGCTGTGCAGTTGGTAGTAATGTTCCCACTTTCATTGCAGATTTTAGTATCTCTTTTTTTTCCCTTGGTCAGTGTCGCTAAAAGGTTTGTCAGCTTTGGTTGTTCTTTTTCTAGCTCCTTCAAGTGTATCGTTAGGTTACTGATTTGAAATTTCTCTTCTTCTGTAATGTCTGCATTGGCAGCTAGAAATTCTGCTGTTAGCACTGCTTCTACTATGTCCCATAACTTACGGTGCATTGTGTTTTTGTTTCCACTTGTCTCAAGGCATTTTCTGACATCCCTTGTGATTCCTTCTTTGACCCATGGGTTGCTTGATTTCCACATAATTCTGAGTATTACCGTGTTCCTTCCGCTGTTGCCTTCTGCTTCTACTCCACCTGATTGGAAAAGATACTTCATATGATTTCATCCTTTAAAATTTATTAGGACTTGTTTTGTGGCCTCACAGATGGTGTGTCCTGGAGGATGTTCCACGTGCACTTGAGAAGCACGTGTGCCCTGCTGCTGTTGGGAAGCGTTCTGTGTCTGTCTGCTAGGTCTCACAGAGTGTGGTTCAAATCCTCTGTCCATAGTCATCTTCCTGTCACCTAAATTCTTCTAGCCATTATTGGAAGTGAGGTAGTCAAGTCTCCGACTCACTTCAAACATGTCAATTTTTGCTTTAGGGATGGAGGTTTACAATTGTTATTTTTTCCTGATGAATGGAAATTTTTATTGGTGTTACTGACCTTGTCTCGTTACCTTTTTGACTTAAAATCAATTTTGTCAGATAATAATATAGCCACCCAGCTGTTTACTGTTTTTGTGGAATATCTTTCCCCACCCTTTTACTTTTAAACTTTTTGTAGATTTCTTTCAAAGTGAGTCTCTTTGAATACAACATATTGGTGGAATGGTTTTTTTTAACCCATTTTGCCAAACTCTGCCTTTTATGTGGAGAGTTTAACCCATTTATATTTAATTACTGATGACTTCCTTCTTCTATTAGCTATTTGTTTTCTGTATGTCCTATATGCTTTTTGTTCAATTCCTCCATTACTGTTTTTTATGGATTTAGTTGATTATTTTTATATAAAGTGCACCCTTTTTGAGTCCCTTCTTCCCTTTTGTATCTATTTCTAAAAAAAGATTTTCTTATTGGTTACCTTTGGGGTTGCAATTAACGTCTCAAACTGAGAGCAACCTAGTTTGAAATACCAACTTCATTCAGTGGTATACACTCAGCTCTTATAAATTCCCAACCCCACTTTTTGTTGTTACTGTCACAGATTATATCTTCATGTATTCTGTTCCCATTAACACAGATTTACACTGTTTTATAAATTTGCTTTATACATTATACAGAAAAAAAGAAGGCTTTACAAACCTAAAGTGAAATGATACAGGCTTTTATAATGATCTGTTACTTACCTCTACTAGTGCTCTTTATTTTTCATATGGTTTTGAGTTACTGTCTAGTGTTTTTTCATTCAGCCTGAAGGGTTAGCTTGTAGGGTTTCTTTTAGGCAGGTCTACTGATAACAAAATCCTTTAACTTCCTTTATCTGGGAATGTCCTCATTTCCCTTCACCCTGAACGGATAGTTTGCTGGATATAGATTTCCTTTTCCTTTCAGTACTTTAAATATAGATAGGTCATCCACTGCCTTCTGGCTGCCATGGTTTCTTTTGATCTTATTGAGGACCCCTTGTACATGACCGTTTCTTTCTTGGTGCTTTCAAGATTTTCTCTTAGTCTTTCAACAATTTGATTACATATATTATATCTCGGTTGGATCTCCTTGAGTTTATCTTGCTTAGAGTCCACTGAGCTTCTTGATGTGTAGATTTATGTCTTTCATCAAATCTGGGAAATATTTAGCCATCATTATTTCAAATAATCTCTCTGCTCCTCTTTTCTGGGATTCTCAGTATGTAGATGCTGTTAATATTTGATGATGTCACCAACTCCTGGAGGGGACTGTTCATTTTTCTACGTTCTTTTTTCCTTTCTGCTCTTCAGGGAGAATAATGTCAATGGTTTTATCTTCAAGTTCACCAATTCTCTCTTCTGCCTGTGCAAATCTGCCATTGAACCCCTCTGGTGAGTTTTTTCATTTCAATTGTTGTATTTTCAGCACCAAAGTTTCTATGTGGTTCCTTTCATAATTTCTCTTTATTACATTTCCTGTTTGTTCTTACATTGTTCTCTTGTGTTCCTTTAGGCATTTTTTGCTGTCTGTGGTTTCCTTTAGCTCACTGAGCATATTTAAGACAGTCAACTTAATGTCTTTGACTAGTAACTTCAACGCCTGGACTTTCTCAGGGAGTTTGTCAAATTCTTTTTTCCGACATACCAGCACTGTTTTCCTATTTCTCTGTATGATTTGTAATTTGTTAGGAACTGGATGTGGAGGATGACAATGTAGTAACTCTGGAAACCAGATTCTCCCCCTCCTCTGGGCTTACTTCCGTCATTTGAGAACTGCAGTCTTGTTTCTATAGTGACTTTTCCAAACTATATTGTTCTGCATATTCCTTGTTGTTCACGGACAGAAGCTTCTGTCCTGCTGCCTTGGTCAGGTTGAGGCCTGGCAGAGATCCCCTTAACTGCTGAAGTCCCACAGCTCTGTTTGTCATCAAGCACTTCCCTGGCTGTTGTGTTGGATGAGGTTCCAGAGTCCCCAGATGGTTCATTCTGATCATTTTCTCCCCCTAGCCTAATGGTCTCCATGGAGAGACTGACCCTGGAACTTCTTATTCCATAATTTTCCCTCACCAATGTTTTTATTTTTAAAACATTTTATTTATGAGAGAGAGAGAGCACGGGCAGTGGGGAGGGGCAGAGGGAGAGGGAGAAGCAGACTCCCCGCTGACCAGGACCCTGAGATCATGACCTGAGCCAAAGGCAGATGCTTAACTGACTGAGCCACCCAGGTACCCCACAAATGTTATTTTTATTTTTATTTTTTATTTTTTTAATTTTTTTTAATTTTTTTTGTTTTATTTATTTATTCATGAAAGTCAGAGAGAGAGAGAGAGAGAGGCAGAGGCAGAGGGAGAAGCAGGCTCCCCGCCTAGCAGGGAGCCTGATGCGGGACTCGATCCCAGGACCCTGGGATCATGACCTGAGCCGAAGGCAGACGCTTAACCATCTGAGCCACCCAGGCGCCCACAAATGTTATTTTTAAAGACCCAAGTTTCAGGGCTTGCTGCTATGCCCTGTGAAAGCATCTCCAACCTCAAATCCCAGGGGTGCTGGGGGGCTGAGCCAGCTCAGTGCCCAGTTAAATGACACTGAGGCAAGCATCTGCTCTGTGAAAGATAGGCTTGCGTGTTTCCTTAAGTGAGCCAGGGAAGGGTGGCCAGCTCTTCTCACTTCTCCTGTGTACAAATAAACCAGTAACAATGCAAGATTTCCTATTTGAACCCGGAAAGTGAGAATCTGCATCTCATTTAAATAGCACAGGAAGTGAAAGAACCAAACCACAACTCCCAAGCTATAGTAGAAACTGGATTTTAATATAATATTCAAGTCTAGCATTTGCTATTTACAACAAATAAATATTGCCCCTCCCCAACTGGTAAACTTTTTTTGTTTTGTTTTTGCCTTTTATACAAATATTCAACACCCCTCCCCTCTCCCCCAATTCTCCTTTCCCACTAACCCCCATCTCGTGTGGTCTCGTGAAGCCCAGGGCGCAGTGGTGAATGGTACTTGCAGTGTCATGAGATTCAGTGGCAAAGGGGCTCCGCTGAGACCTTCCTCACTCACCGGGTGAAGAGTGTGATCTGTGGAAAGGGTCCCCCTCCTCCTCTCCTGGGGGGGGGGGTTGGACGGGGGAGGGGTGAGACTCCCTTGCTCTGTTGGCCCTGATGGTGGAATCTTTGGTGCAGCCTGGGAAAGGCTAGCATGGTGGAAAGAGGGCCCAGGACCCGAGAAGGGCACAGGCCGATGCCCGTGGGCATGAGGAGAGAAGTGCAGTGGTCAGACCCAGTGGATGAGTGGGTGCCCTGGGGTGCCCATGGGCACAGGTGGCAGTGACCCACACCTGAGCAGGCATGAGGGAAGTGCACAGAGGGCAGTGCCCAGCGGCATGCAGGGCTCCATGCCCATTGGCAGCGCTCCTTGGCAGAAGTCAGCTAGTCCTCTGGTTCCAGAGAGTGGAAGGCACCTAAGGCAGCGAGTGGTCCACGGGAGGCCAGGTCAGCCTAGCAAACAGTAGGCGTCAATCCCGGCAGTAGGAGAGGTTTAGGGTGAAACTGGAGTCTGGGGGTGGCCTGAGCTGGCAGGTCAGGCAAACGGTGCCCGCCTGGCCTGGGCCACTGGAGTCTCTAAGTGCTTGGTTATCCCGCCAGCCAGCCCCTGACAGACCGGTTCTGTGGCCGGCCAGTGCTAGGGACTAATCAGAAGATGCCCTTAGCAATCTTGAGTCCCTTCTGCTTCATGCGAGGAAGAGTTGAGCTGGCGCCATGCCTGACCTTTGCCCCTTTTGTGAAGGTCCGTTTCTTTAGGACAAAGTCATAGTTGGCAGTTGAGTTCATGGCGTAGAACACGTTGGCGTTGTCAGGGATCTTCAGCTCTGGTGGGAGAGGGGCGGAGAGAGGGTCAGCGATGCTTACAGGGGCCTCCCAGAACACCCACCACTTGAGGGCCCCCCTAGGGCAGGCCTGAGCCGAAGACCTGAGACCCCCAATCCAACCTCAGGAATACCGATGACCCCTCTGAATGACACCTGCCTAGGAGACCGCTGGGCGCTCAGGAAATCCAATGACCCTTGTTTAAAGAGACTCTGACTCCAGAGATCCCCACCTCAGTCCGGAGTTGGCAAAGGGCCATCCATCCCTCTCTTGCTGCCTTCACTGACCATGATCTCAAGCTGGAAGAAGCTTTCTAGACTCCAGAACACTTCCCTTAAGTCCTGCCCTACTCAGGACCAAGGTTGGGGGCCTAGCAAAGGGCAGGCCTTGCCCCAGGGCTTCTGTGCCAGGTTCCAGGGGGGAATCCATGCCCTGCCCTGGGTGGCTCCTCTCCCCCATCTGCTGTGGACAGGAACCTGCTACAGTCTAGACCCACTGAGCTTCCTGCCCCTGCCTCACCTTCCCTACCCTGCCCTCAGCCTCAGTCCTCCTGTCCTGTAAGATGGGGGTTGCACCTGCCCTGTCTCCCCACCACCCCCCCAACAAAACGGTGCAAGAAGGTGAGAGAGAGAGCTCAGGAAACAACTTCTGGGGATGCTGGTGGTCACCATGAATTGTCTGGGTTAACGCCTGGCAGCTCATGGGAAGGAACAGAGCCCCACGTCTCTAGATGTATGTATGGATTAGCCCTTAGTTCCTTATCTCTCTTGTGGGGATGAGGAATTGGCAGACGACGAGGTAAGGGCCGTGCCCGAGCTTTCTGACCCTGCTTTCCGGCTCCCGGAGAACGCCAGCTCTGGGTTCTGTCGCTTTCCCAGCTCCCACGCACCAAGCTGGGCCCCTCATAGCCTGTGCTTAGTGTCTGCAATGGTCTGAATGTTCGTGTCCCCCAAAATTCGTGTGGGAATCCGCATGCCCAAAGTGATGGGGCCTTGGGCCGTGATAAGGCTGTGGGAGTGGAGCCTCAGGAATGGGACTGCCACTTTATAAAAGAAGCCCCTCGCCCCTTCCACCACATGAGGGCACAAGGAGAAGGCAGCTGTCTGCCACCTGGAGGAGGGCCCTCACTGGAACCTGACCGAGCCAGCACCCTCATCGTGCACTTGCAGCCTCCAGAACTGTGAGCGATAAATCTGAGTCGTCTATCAGCCCCCCAGCCCGCGGTGGTGTGTTACGGCAGCCCCAGCTGACAAAGACGTCACATGTGCGTGGATTTTAACATATTTGAGGCTCAGGTCCACGGCAGGCACGATTCTTTCTGAAGCACACATTTCCCATCTCAGCTAGGGTGCCCCTGTGAACGGCCCCTCGGCTGGGCCATCTGGCTCCCTGGCCCCAGAAGAAAAGCCTTTTCCCTTCACTCCTTGGTGCTGCTAGCTTTTTTTTTTTTTTAATTTATTTATTAGAGAGAGAGAGAGTGAGAGAGAGAGCGAGAGAGAGAGCGCAAGAGGGGGAAGGGTCAGAGGGAGCAGCAGACTCTCCGCCGAGCAGGGAGCCCGACGCGGGACTCGATCCCGGGACTCCGGGATCATGACCTGAGCCGAAGGCAGTCGCTCAACCAACTGAGCCACCCAGGCGCCCGGTGCTGCTAGCTTTGACCTAGGTCTCCCACAGCCTGTTCACATCCAGCCAAGGGCCCGCACATGCCAGGGGCCAGTGAGGAGGCTGCCCCAGGGCCGGGCAGCATCTGCGCAAGGCCGCCCACCCCCACCGCCCCAGCCCTGTGTTTTGGGAACGCAGGCCCTGGGCCTGGGGCTGGGTGTGGGCCTGGGGCTGGGGTGTGGTGCTGCTTCCCCATAGCCCGCCCACCTGGTCCCTGACTTACTTCGATCGTCTGAAATAACCTGCACTAGCTCATAGTCATCTGGCTCATCCTCATCCAGGTTGTGTTTGTCCATGGCCTTGCGGATTACGGCTGGAGCCTTATCTTGGCTGGTTACCTAGATCGGGGAAGGGGCAGACCATCAGGGCGAGGGGCCTGGAGAAGCCCCCTCTCCCCCCGGAGCGCAGCCCCAGAGACCCTTGGAGTTGCTTCACACTGCACACAAAAGCTCAGCTTCTGGCTGGGTGCTGGGCCTGGGTGCTGGGTCTGTGTGGGGCCTCTCCACCTCGTCCTGCCCTGGGAGCCCTCCATGCAGTGATGGGGGGCTTTTCCCAATTGTTGCTGCCCCCCCAATTCTCCTACAAGCCTGCCATCTCCTCCCATGCCACCTCGGAAACCTGCCCGCTCCTGGGGGCTGCTCCCCTTGATCCTACCCCTGCAGGACAATGGGATCAGTGAACCCAGGGAAGAGACAGCGTCTAGTCCCAGCCTTGGAGGGAAGAGAGGAGCTGGCCAGACGCCCAGGGGCCGCCTCTGTGCCAGGCCTGCATTGGCTGGGGGCTGCAGTGGTGGTCAGCACAGGCCGACCCCTCTTGCCTCAACCCCAGAGGCCACAGTGCAGACAGGCCCTGGACATGGGATCATATAGGTGACTGTTAATGACAGTCAAGCTAGTTCCTGGTGGGAAGGACGCTCAGCACAGGGCAGTATGTCACGGGGCCCCAGACCCAGTGAGAGCGGATGGGGGGCCTTCGGGGAGTACAAATGGCTCCTCTGCAGCGTGAGTTCTGGAACGTGAGTCCCCCCCAACCCCCCAGACACACAGTGTCTGGAGACAAATCCCCTTGGCTTGATCTCACCCTGAACGACATCCATGGTCTGACACTGCTGGCCACCTCCACGGCCCCCCGCCTGGCGTGGTCACTGCCTCCTCACCGGCTTCCCTGCGCCTCCTGGCCCCAGCCCCGCCCCGTGGAGAAGTCACCGCTGCCCGCCCTCTGCTCCAACCACTGGCAGCTTCTGTCTTCCTCCGAGGAGATCCAGAACGAGACCCTGAGCCCCTGATCTCAGGCCTCTTGTTGCTCCTCCAACTGCCGGGCCTCCCCGCCTCCCTGCCTCCCCTCAGGCGCCTCCTCTGTCAAGCCCTCCCTGGCCTTCGGTCTGCAGGGAAGCTTCTCAATTGTACCCGCTGACCGTCTGTCCCTCCCGACCCCCTGGCAGGTTAGCCCGAGGACAGCGGGCACGGGACGGCGGCTCACCAGGATGCTTTTGTACATGTTGCCGTTGTCCACGTCGAGGCTGACGCGGACGATGCAGCGGTCGCCCACCTGCTGGTTGTACAGCGGCCGCGAGCAGCTGTAGCTGCAGACCCCAGAGACAGAGCGCTTGTGGGTGCGTGTGGCGGCCACGGGCGTGGTGGAGGCTGAGGAGGAGGAGGTGCTGCTGGAGGCCGAGCTGATGCCGGAGGTCTCCGGGGACGACTGGGAGGTCGACTCCCAGAACTGCGAGGATGGCACGATCATCAGGAGCCCTGGATCCTGCAGGGCGCCCAGGCCAGTGCCCGGCACCGGGGTCGGGGGGCGTCCGAGGAGTTCTGTGTACGAGCTAGGGCTTCCTGGCCACTTGCGGGGGGGACTGGGGACCTGGGCCCGGGGAAGGGCCATTGGGGAGAAGGGGTGTGGCAGTCACCTTTTTTTCCTGACCGTCGGGGGACTCCGGGACAAAGCTCATGTTGATCTCCTCCACGTCGGAGCTGGACGAGCCGGCTGAGTGGACGCTGAGGGCGTCGGCGATGTCCCCGCTGCTGAGGTAGGGACCGCACCTGAGCTGGTCACAGGACTTGGAGTGGGAGCTGCCGCTCGTACTGAGCTCCGTGCTGGGGACCTGGCGGCTGCATGGAAGGATCAGCTCATCTGGGGGGCCTCCCCGGGGACACATCCCACCCCTGCCCCCTCCACTCCACATTCCAGGCTCTGTGCCAAGTGCGCGGTCGATCACCAGTCCCACATTTGTCCCTGCTTCGGGAGCGATCGATTTAGGATCACCCTATTTCACAGAGACACACCCAGCCCGAGGCTTCCCGAAGCCGGGAGGGAGCCCATCCTGCCAGCCCGGGCACTCACTCGCTCCAGCGCTTGACAATGGCCGTGTTCTTCTTGGCCTTGAGGGTGTTGCTGGCCGACTCGGAGGGGGGCTCCAGCTCGCACGATAGGTTGTAGCTACGGGACAGAGGTGCTGTGAGGCTAAGGGGGTGCACACCCGGTTTCCCTCCCGCAGTCTGCCTGGCAGCGTGGGTCCAGATGCCCAGAGTCAGTCCAGTGCTGACCAAGATCCCACAGCACAGCCCGCCCAAGCTGCGCCCAATTCCTGCGCAGGCACACCTCTCCGTCTCGCTGAGCCGCTCCATGGCCCGGAACCAGGCCCCAAAGTGCTCCTCGGGTGCGATGCTGTAATTGTTGCATGCTGACTGGAGCAGCTTGATCTGGGCGATCACTTCGAATTCCTGGGGCCAGAGGGAAGGGCAGGACGGTGCTGGCATGGATGGGGTGCTGGGCGTGGCCCCAGGGCCCAGGGTCTCTGGGTCCCCTCCTACTCTCTACTCCTGCCCAGGCCCACCCCTTCTCGGAGCTGGGTCCAAACAGCCCCTCCCAGGAAGTCGTCCCTGATTCTGGTCTCCTGCACCCATCCTCCAGCAGGAGAGGTCCCCCCTCCTCTGTGTATCCGACTCTCCCCATGAATGTAACAGGAAGCGGGATGCAGCCAAGAGGTCTATCCGGATGGCTCTCTGATTTCCACACCCCCCGCCAACACGTACGGACTGCAGTGGCTCACCTTCCTCCTCTTCTCGAAGTTGATCAGTCTCCCCTGGAAGGCAAACGGCCAGCCACCATTAGATAGTGTCCCCCTGCCCATGACCGCCCCTCAGGCCCTCTCAGGCTGCACTCCCAACAGCACACACCAGGGGGCAGGTGGGCGCACGCACCCGGGCTTTGGGTGGGTCCTAGGATCTGGGAGCTGCTGGGCAGGGGTGGGGGGCTGGCAGAGCCTCAAGGAACTTCTTGCCCAACCCTCTGGGGACAGAAGGAGAGCCTGAGGCCTGGGGCAGGAAGGCCCAGCCTGGCCACCCCGCACCTGACCTTGGAGGGCCGGCCCCTCTCTGCCCATGGCCGCTGCCTGAGGGAGGGCTGCGTGCCGCTGGGCCAAAGCCTCCCGCGGCTCTAGGCCTCACCAGCTGGGCACCTAGCTCTTTACTCCCTGGTGAGATGGGCAGGTGCCCTGGCCTCAGGGCTCAGTGAGGGGCGTCTTCCTCCGGGGCTCCAGGACCCCGACCCCGCTCCCACCCCGGCCGGGCCCCCGGGGCTCACTCACATACAGATAGTCTTTCATGGCGGTGTCCAGCATCACCAGGTCTGTGAGGAACGTGCCCAGGTAGGGAACGGTGCCCTGGATGACACCCTGTGGCATGGGGGTGGGGCTGATGAGCCAGAACCAAGGCTCCCCTCAGCCTCAGCCTCCACCCCAGCCTCCCGCTCAGAGCAGCTCGGGGACCTTCAGCTGTCTCTCCCAGACTCCCTCCTAGCGGCCACGGACTCCGAACTCCCCCAGTCACCTTCCAGGCCCGGTATTTGGTAAATCACCGAAGTTCTGTGGTTCCTGGACCCTCCCCACCCCTAAACCCACCCCGAGCCTGGCTCTCCCAGGCCCTTGCTCTGGTGGCTGTAACCAGCACCGTCACGACAGCAGCTGGTCAGGCCGCGTCCCTGCCCGGGCCCAGAGGAGCTCAGGTCTACGTGGCAGGTCAGGTACTGCAGCAGGGAGGGCGGGGAAGGGCTGGGGGCGACCCCCCCTGTGCTCACTGGGAGGCCTGTCCCCTGCCTCTCCCAGGCCTCGCGCACACTCACCGTCTCCTTTGGCCGCTTCTGAGCTCTCTTGGGGTTCATCTCCAGGGTGGCAAACTTGGAAGTCCCCTCCTGCCAGCAGTGAAGACAGGGTCAGTGAGACCTTCCTCTCCTCCCCAGCTTCCCCTCCAGCAGACCTGACCTTGGGCCTTGGTCACCAGTACAAACGCTCCAGGGCTCCCTGGGCGTGGGAATGGGGGCCAACAGCCTGGCCTCCCTGAGCCTGTTTCCTCGTCTGGGAAGTGCAGGTGAGCACGCCACCCGCCTCCTGGGGTCTCCAGGGACTCAACATCCCATGCCTGTTCCTGTCACCCTCGCCCACTCCAGGGTGGGGGCTCTGCACAAAACTCACGCACATTCCCTTTCTCCCTGCACCTCGCTGCCTCCCCATGCGTCATGAGCCCAGAGGGACCCTGGGCTCATCATTCCTCCATTTTCTGAGAGGGGCAGTGACTTGCCCGAGGTCCCAGAAGGACTCAGAGGAGAGTGGGCTCCTCCCTCCCAGCTGGAGACCTGCTCCCGCTAACTGGTGGTCTGGCGAATGTGAGGCCCCGTGGCGAGAGCCCAACAAGACTGCCTGGGATCCATTTGTGGCGTCTGGCCCCGGGCAGAGCGAGGAACCCCCCCAGTGCACCCAGAGCCGCCTCCTGGGTCTGCTCATTTGGACCCAAGGCTGGGCAGCCCCTTTGGGATGTGGCCTCTGGCTCCCCCTGTGGTACCCCGTCCCTAGGCAGGCAGGGGGCTCTCCCCTGGAGCTGCAGTGCAGACAGAAGGAGCCCCGCACCCCCGGCCCCATCCACCCACCAGCCTGGAGGAGGCAGGAGACCTGCTAATCCTGCCAGCTCAGCCATCCCGTCTGGAACGCCCCAGCTGCTCCCACACCATCCCATTACCAGGGCCTCCTGTTCCCCAAACTGCCCCCCACCGGCCATGGACCAAAAAGATCCCACTCTCCCCAGAGTCCAGACAAGATGGGACTGGAATTTTTCAAAGAAACTCACTGAGAACCTCCCTCCTCTGTCCCGGCTTTACCTTGATGAGCAGCTCTCTGCTCAGTGAATAGTTGTTCTCATCTGAGAAGATCTCCGACAGCTTCTGAAAGATTCGGAAGCTGTCCCTGCGGGAAGGACGGACAGACTTGGGAATGGCACACACGGATGTGCGTGCTAATCCATTTTATTTTAGAGCCCAAGACCCTGAACTGCCCGGATGGGTGGTTTTCACACAGGGTCCTGCTGGGCCCTCAGCGTTCTGCGGCTCCCAGGGGAGCTCTGTGTGGGTGGCTGCCCAGTAAACACAGGAAAATCTCCAGGGTGGCTCAATCTAGTAGCTGACAGATAGGGAAACTATCTGTCTAAGGCAGAACTAGAGTCCTAAGGCAGAACTGCTGGCCTAAGGCCAATGGACCCTCGGAGGCCCCGCCAGCAGGCCTGACCCAGGATTCGCTGCCTCCTGGAAGGTCCCGGGTCCCCCCCTGGAGCTCCTGCCAAGAGAGGCCGGCCCACCTGGAAACTTCCTCCCACGTCTTCTTCAGCCGGTGAATGGAGTTACTCTGCAGGGCTGACAGGATAGCGTAGAGCGACGAGAAATTCTTGAGGACGCGGCACTCCTGGGGGAGGAACAGAAGGGCTGAGGTGTGGCTGCAGTCCCCGTGGCTGGGACCTCGCGTCCTGGGGGAGACGGCTGCCTGCGGAGCCTGGGTAAGCAGCACTCCCGAGAGGAGGATCTGAGCTCAACCCACAGGAGGAAGTTCCGGGGGAGTGAGCATCCGGGCAGCAGGATGCCAGGTTCCCCTGGGAAGGAAGGGCCTGCGGTCTCTGCGGGGCCTAGAACCACAAATCACCACCCCGAGGGCAGATGAAGTGAGACAGGGGTTCCCCAGGGCCCCTCAGAGGCGTACCCTGGCCACCTCGATCCAGTGCTCCACCACCCTGGCCCTGTCCCGGGCCGTCACACTCCGGTCCCCCAGGCAGGTGGTGATGACGCAGTTGGCCACGCTGTTGAACTGGGTGACGGTGGCACGGACGGTGGGAGCCAGGTGCTCTTTGCCCTTCTTGTCCCGCTGGGACCAGATGCAGCCCAGGCAATGGTAGGGCACGACCTTCTTGAACAGCTCCTGGGGGTCGGGGGAGCGTCACCGGCTCTGCCACACCCCAGCTCAGCATCCACGGTCCCCTAGTCCCAGGCAGGGTCCCTGGCCAGAGCTGAGCTCAGGAAGCTAAGGCCGTGGCTTGAGCCTCGCAGGGCTGGGGTGTGTGTGCGACTCTGGGCTTTGTTCTCTGCCTCCCGTGCGTGCCCGGCGCATGAGTGACCCGGGACGACACAACGCAGCAAAGAGAGTCTGGCATTTCAGCAGCGCATCCTCACCAACTCCCAGCGCCAGAAGGAGGCTCCCAGCTGTGCCTCCCAGGCAGCACTTCCAGCTCCCCCATCGGGCCTCAGGTCTGCCCCAGCCAGATGTGGGTGCAACAACTATGGGCTCTGCTGCCTGCCATAAGCTTTAGCACACAGCAGGTACCTAATGAGTGCTGAGGCTGGTGAGGCCTCCGACCCGTGGAGCTGGATGTACCTCAGGAAGCTCCACTCCCCCAGGCCCCACCCAGCCTTCAACTGTCCCGCCTCATGTATTCCACAGTCGCTGTGCAGAGGATTGGGGTGGGGAGGGTCCCATCTCTACGTCCACAGTCCGGAGAGCCCACAGTGAGTCCTGGTGGAACTGGGATATGGACCAGGACATCAGCTCTGGACCGGGGAACGGCAGGGAACGGACCAGAGGCCAGAGGAAGGTGCACCCCTGCCCCGCCCTGCTGGGGACAGTGCTCACCGCATCCATCAGGGTAAACTGCTCTGCCACCAGGTCGGGAGGGAAGGCCAAGAGGTGAGGCTTCTCATTCAGGTCATTTTCTGCAGCCACAGGTGAAGGCCAGGGA